GGTTGGTTGTGGTGGTGGTGGTGGTGGTGGTGGTGGTTGTTGTTGTTGTTGTTGTTGTTGTTGTTGTGGTTGTTGTTGTTGGTTGTTGGTTGTTGGTTGTTGGTTGTTGGTTGTTGGTTGTTGTTGTGGTTGTTGGTTGTTGGTTGTTGGTTGTTGGTTGTTGGTGGTTGTTGTTGTTGTTGTTGTTGTTGTTTTTTGTTGTTTGTTGTTTGTTGTTGTTGTGGTTGTTGGTTGTTGGTTGTTGGTTGTTGGTTGTTGGTTGTTGGTTGTTGGTTGTTGGTTGTTGTTGTTGTTGTTGGTGGTGGTGGTGGTGGTGGTGGTTGTTGTTGTTGTCGCTATTTGTTGTTGTTACTATTTGTGGTTTAGGTCCTTCTTGAGATAGTGGTGGTATTAGCGGTGGTTACCGTTGGTAGTGGTTCTGCTTCTGTTGGCGCTTGGGGTGCTTCAACGGTCGGAGTTCGTGCTTTTGCATGCTTGCTGGCGAGCTCGCTTACACCCCTGCAGCACAAGTTCGCGAAACGTGGCGTTGCATGTTCTGACCGTGTATTCCAGTGATGATGATGACGATGATGCAGGTTATGCTGATACGATATGAGGTTTGCGGTGATGGTGGCGGTGCTGAGGATGTGTTGACGGTCATGGCGAAGAAAGAGGCTATGATTAATGCGAGGTTGATTGATATTTTGATGCCGATGCGGGCCGTCAGGATGATGATGATGATGATGCTGATGCTGATGCTGATGGCTTTGCTCCTGACGCTGGTCATGACAATGACGAAGACACATTGTTGGGATTTCGGCCCACAGCTGATTGACCGGATGGCAGTGGCGGAGGGGCTGACCAGCTCGACGTGTCTCGGTCTCAGCGACCAGCACGGTGCGGAGGTGTGTCCCAGCAGGCTCCTAGGAGACGGGGTTGCTTGTGCTGAGACTGAGTATGATTTGAACACGCTTTCTTTTGGAGAAGAGCCCTTGGCGTCCCTTTAGACATCGCGCACAGAAAGCAGGCTTACTCCTTCCAGAAGAGCCCCTCAACTCAGACTCTCAACGGTTTGCCGAGAGTGAGTGATCACACTACCATCATGGTCCGACGTTGCAATGTTCCGCCGTGTCAGTAACTTTAAACCACTCGTAGCACGAGTCGTGGTGTTGGTGGTGTAATTTTCCCAGAAAATGTGTTTGTTGCGGTCGTCGGTCCGTCAGCCCTGAGAGTCTTTTCGAGGGCAAGAGATTCTCGCAGGCTACTCTGTATACCTTCCAAACTACATATCACAGGCTGATTCGGACAAAACCAGCATGTGTCTACATATCCGCACACATACTGTATCTATGTGTATATGTATCGGTGCATGTATGTACGTGTATAGTTTAGTATATACATATATTCACATACACACTGACACACATGCAGATACACGGTGCGCTGTGGGATGCATATGGATCCATGAGCGAAGCGACATGTTACGGGGTACGCAGAAGCCCCTCATACAACTTTGATTACGGGAGACTCCTGAGCTTTGGCCCTGAGTCCTGAAACCTAAGAGCGGATACCAGCTCGCTTCAGATATGTTCGTGACTACCTATCCCTAACACCACTCAACCCTTCAACCTGAACACCCACTTGAAAGTCGCTCCCCAGAGAGCCAGATACCCTACAAACGGAGCAATATCCATGTAAAGCCTGTGTAATAAAGAGGGTAGGGGGCTTCGGAGAAAGGAGTTCAATAAAAAAGAGGGTAGCGGTTTTCCTGGGCCCGAGAGGTCTTCACGCCTTGCTCCGGGCGCTAAGCCCTGGGTCCTGGCACTTCTCTGGGAGGTGCAGAAGTGGCCCTAATCATGCTATGGGAGTTTCCGAAAGCAAGGGGGACCTCATTTTGGGGTCCTTATAATTTGGGATCCTACTTTTTGGGGTGCTGTATCAGGGTTCCCTATTTTCGGAAACCCCCCCAAATATGGGTTGAGGCTTTATGGTTTGGGTTTGTGGGAACCTGAAAAAACACAACAGGCTGAAGCCCATAGCCTCAAGCACAAAGGCGGATGCTAGATTTTGGTTGGCAAGGACACCCGGATGACTTGTCCTCTTCATACATTGCTGTTCCTGGTTGGTTCGGATTGTTCTAGCTTTCACTCGTCACAGAGTTTGGAGCTGGAACAGCTGAACAACTTCCTGCTGCATGATCACATGCACCTCGTGCGACCACAGGCAGGCCGCGTTTGCTCGAGGAGCCTCACCTCCCGCATTCACAAGTAGCACCGATTCCGTTCCTTCGAGCAGTCGGCATGGCGCGAACGATGGGAGTGGCAGTTCTGTTCGCAGCAGCGACCTGGCTGTACTAGACATGGACTTGCCTTTGGTGTCGCGGTTGAGCCGACACATGCACTACGTGCGGACGCAAGGGCATGTATGTATGTGTACATAGAAGTCTCTACAGAAGTTAGACAAACGTGTGTATCATATGCTCGTATATACAAATATGGGTACACAAATATGTAGGGAGAGACATGCGTACGTACATACATGCATACACATACGCACATATACATACAGACATACATACATACATACATACATACATACATACATACATACATACCCGCATCCGTGCAGGCATGGGCGCATGCCGCATACATACATACACACATACATACATACATACATAAATTCGACCCTTCATGCATTCTTTCATTCATTTATTGATGGATTGATTGATTGATTCATTCATTCATTCGATGAATCATTCGTTCACGCGTGCATGCATGCACGCAGTCAGTCAGTCAGTCAGTCAGTCAGTCAGTCAGTCAGTCAGTCAGTCATATATATATATATACACACATATTCATATTTGTATTTTTTTACGAACATACAGACATGCATCCACGCATGTGTTTATGCGCATGTACAAATGTACATATGCACATATGTACATATGTACAAATACATACGTACATACATACCTATACACTTAATAGGACCGAGGTAAACTCGGCTCTTACAAACATACATGCGCACAAACATACACCTAGGTAATGTAGGTACATACACACGTACATCCATGCATACATCAATATGTACATACTTCTATGCAATCACAAGCACATGTGTACATACACATACATGCACATACATACATACATGCCTGCCTGCCTGCGCGTATGCATGCATGCATGCACACATACTTATGACGCACATGCATACATACATACATTCATTCATTCATTCATTGATACATTCATAAGATGTGTCTCCATGTACATATATATATATATATACAGATATATATATATATATATATACACATAGTCTAGCTCTCGTTGGTACACACAGGTGTGCTTGTACAGGCTTATTCTTTGTTTATAGTTGTAGCAATGTCCAGCACTATCTCCATTATCCGGATCACATCTAGGTTGATCGTTTGTCAATGGTCATGTTGTTACAGGTGTTTCGATATTCTTATGTATCCATGTGTACCTTGATTTACACTTGCTGGTCTAACCAACAGTTGCTAGGCATATGTTGCACTCCTGCTAATTTATGTTCCTGCTTCGACCGCCGGTCAGTTGCAGCCAGGTGATGTGCTTCGTTGGGAAGTTGGCTTTCACTCCTTCGGTGTCCACAGGCTTCGGACGCTCCGCGCAGCTTTCATGCCCTTGGATGTCCCAATCCCTGATCTACAGTCCTTGAGTTCGACATATTAAGCTATCCTCCAGCAGTCCTATCCCCATATCCGAATAAGCAGCATAAGTTCCACCAGAGCTTCACAGCAAAGGCAGCAGGGCCTCGCTGCTCAGCAGCGCAGCCTCACGCAGCGCCAGGCGGATGGATCCTACTTGAAGCTCGATTTCCATCGGGTTGAGGCTTCCGATTCTGTTTTCGGGTCTTCTTGAAGTGTATCGAACTGCTGACTACTGTAAGACCTCCCTTTCAGGCGACCCTAGGGTCTCCTCTTGTCGGATGCCGTGGGTTGCCACGGCTATTGGGATAGAGTGTAGAGGTTAAGGTCAAGCAGGCTGAAAATGTCATGTAGTATGTGTGCCAGGATCTCGCATGCTTGCGGCAGTGGCTGAAAGGCTGAACACAACAGAGCTATGAAGCTGTCGTTTGAAACTCGGTGTTCCACCTTCTGTCTGGTGCTTTGTAGGGCATGGGGGAATGGATCCGTATGATAGTCCCTCAAGGTCCCTTATAGGAGTCCCGTTAATCCATTCCCCCATTACCTACTACGCACCAGACAGCCTTGACCACAGTACGTGGCGGTCGAAGTCTTGAGAACCTCCAACGGTTCATGGTATCAGGGTCGAGGCAAGCACTAGTACCTGGACCCCAAAAGTATGTCGAATAATAGCCGTTTAGGGCCATTATTTTACTTACTTTTTGGGGGTTTAGGTACCAATCTTGGTGCTGTCGGCCCCGCTGTAATCCGTAGTAGGTTGCAACAGATTTTCCAGTTGGACATATAATCATGACATATTATCATCATAGTATACTTTGCCGATGTGCTCCTCGGCAGAAGACCCCGAATTGCCTTGTGACCCCTGCTCCGGAAAAACCTCATGTGACTGCTCTGCAAGGGAGCGCAGACTTACCCCAAACCCTAAACCCAAAACCCAAAACCCTAAAAACGGGGGCTCTACAAGCGAACTGGAGGTCAAATGTCAGACCACGCCGATAGAACGCAGCGGTGCGGGAGCCAGAACATAAGCTAGACAAGGCCCGAAGTAACAGCACCTAACCCCCAGGTGCCTACTATATAGGGCCTTATGGGCTTTAGTACCCTATATAGTAGGTACCTGGGGGCTTAGGGAACAGGAAGGTTGTGGACTTCCGGGCCCGAGCTCATTAACAGCATACTGCATGCGGGATCACGCCTTAAGCTCGCTAAATCCTGGGGGAACCCTAGAGCCCCCTTTGTTCAAACCTTTTTTGGAGAGCGAAAGCTGACCCTACACCCCTAAACCCTAGACCCTGCAAGCCCCAACCCCTAAACCCTAAACACCTACACTCTGCAAGCCCTAAACCCCTAAAC